ATTTTCTGTAATATTTGCTGTTATTGAACAGAAATGAGAATTTATAACAACGTTCTCTGACAAAATACGTATCTCCTAACATAAAGAGAAAAATTAAACACTTTAAACAAAAAATACATGTGCATGATTATTTTTTGTCATATAAACGATTTTTATGATAAAAATTGATTTTTTTTGCACAAATGAGGCATGATAAAAAGCGAAAGATCATGCAAAAAAATATGTTTTACTTTTTTTATAATTTTCTAATTTCAATTGTTACAGAATTAATAATTTATATATGTACATATATGCATACGCAAATCTACATATATACATACATATATATGCGTACAAATGTAAGTATATGAGCCAATAGAAAAAATACAATCATTGTTATACAAAAACAACAATTCTCTCAAATAGAAATCTCGCGTCAGAAATCAATATGGCAGCCAAATTATTTTATGGAGTCACAAAAGTACAGAATTGTGTTTTGTCGTCGGCATTTTCATACCATGTGTTAAATATTACAGAAAATGGTGAACTCCTTGATCTCAATTTTTTAGCTCTATTAGCCGTTCAATCGAGCATCACACAAAATTCAATTTGCACCTTCTCGCTCTTCTAAGTTCTCTGATACAAGTACATATGCGATATGAAGTAAGCCAGAAGTTTGAAAATAATTCGATAAGGTATATAGGGGCTAAGGAAAGTATTGACCCGATTAAACCATTTTGGCATACTTGCATACTATTATCAGAAAGTAACTCTCTTCGAATTGCAATAATATATCTCACAGATTGACCGTTATTTCCGGGAAAAAGTTAGCTCCAAACACTGGAGACTTGTTTAGTAATGGTTCAATTTTGACAATTTTAGACTTGAGATGGTATACCTCATAAGCAAAGTCTTCCCCTAATATATTCTTTGGTGCTTGATTTGTGTACCGGAAAGTGAAAGAATCATATGGAATTTAAAAATGTGTAGATAGGAAGTAGGCGTGGTTGTAGTTATATTTCGCTCGTTTTCTCATTGTGAGATGGGATTGTTAAAATAATTTTGATCAAGTAGTTCATGAGATATATGATTTCGCCTAAATGTGGGCGGTGCCACGCCCATCGTCCAATCTTGACAACGCTTCCTTTAAAGCCCGTTCTATCCCGAATGTAAAATTTAATGTGTGACACATTTATTTATTGATTTATCGCACTTTTAATAGTTTTAAACAAAAACGTTTTATAGGGAGTGGGCGGGGTTATCATCTGATTTCATCTATTTTCAAGTCGAAGGTAGTGTATTTTCTTATATTATTATATTTTTTGTTGCATTCCTTTTTATATTTAAGTATATTGTTATAACTAATTTTGATTAAAAGTTTGAAATTTATTAAAGAATTAAAATTATATTATCTACTGCGCAAAAGAATTTTTCACTTCTGATAGCGTTTCAGTCATAATTGACAATTTTCAGGTATGACGGATTTATGGTCAGCAATGACTCAGAAAAAACAAAACAAACAAACAAAAAGAAAACAACTCTCTTAAGAAAATGATAGAAACTTCGTTCTGCGCGCTGACAAAATTTGTTCAGCTATGACTGTCATATTACCCATCAGATGACCGTCACTGTTCCTGTAGGGTACATAACAAATATAAACAAATAGATGTGTGAACTGTCAATGAAAACTCATCGAAAACACACAATGTCGGTCAGAACGACTTTGGTTCCACAATCCACAAATTGTGTTTTCAAGAGGATTTCAATTCGGTGCGAACATAGTATTAGTTAAGACTTTTTATAAGCTTTCGATTAATGGTGTTTTGTGGTCGTAGCAGTTTTCCAATTACTCCCATCTACAATAAAAAAACTAATTATGGTGCCAAGGAATATGTGTACCAAGTTTCAGCAAGATATCTTAATTTTTACTCAAGTTACAGCTTGCACGGACGGACGGACAGACAGACATACAGACATCCGGATTTCAAGTCTCGATTATTTGAAGTCGATACAGAGAACTTAGAAGAATTTATATTTTACAATCTCTGGTAAAACAATTAAATCATACAAATATGAGTAAAATTAATTTACAGTTATTGTCTGAAAAAGCGAAGCTCATACGCAAATCAAGTATAGGTTGATCGTTACTGATTCAAATTTGTTCTTTATCGCTGATTTGAAAACCAACGGTTCGATTCGTGTACATGTATTAAACTGACAGAATCAGTCTGAGCAACGGAACAGTACTTGAGTAACCGAACAGTACTTGAGTATGAACAAAAATGTATTATTCGTTGCAGTTCCCTGGTACCAACCAAAGTACCCTAATCCTAAATATGGAACCATCCACCTCTACGGCGACTACCAACCAGATTACACTGACTGGACGGCACCAGAGGACAGTCTTCATATCGAAGAGATAAAGCGAATATTTTAGGAATACGAAAGTAGTGGCCATCTGCGAAGAGTTTATACAGACTCTATCGAAAGCTGGGCACAAAATCAGCTTCAGTATACGCAAGGTCAGGATGAGGATATTTCAAGGCCACAAAGCGGCTGATGAAGAAGGCACGGAAGAGGTCGGCGACAACAGCCAGTAGCTAAGAGATGTTGTCAACAAAGAATAGACAATGAGCAATCACCAAAGATGCGTACAGATAAATCTGCAGTACTCGAAAAGCGAAAGATGCACTGAATATGCTCCAGCAACAACTACTCATAGATATTTTCATACGGACACTGGCAACATTTTCTGCTCAAATACACCGAAGATCTTGATATCTCTACCAAACATCTTCCAAGCGGAAGAACTAGACGTAGAGAAGTTCTACTGAACAACTACGGGAGGATACAGAAAGAGACCATTTACACAGGCAGCCAGGCGGCACTACTAGCCTTGTCATCGCCAAAGATCAACTAAAAAAAACAAAGCGAGGAAGGCTTTAAGCTCACTGGCACGACAACTGAACTTGTCCATAATTTGGGTTCCCGGTCACAAGAACATTTTCGGTAATGAAAAAGCAGACGAGTTGGCTAAGTCAGAAACCTCTTTAGACGAATCCGAGGCAGAGACAATACCGTGTCTGCAACCAAATGCAGGATAGCGAAACAAATATGGCCAAATAATTACAATATGTATGGACTTACCATAATGGGGCATTGACCATTTGGAGAACATGCATTAAAACTGGGTATGCCCTATAATAATATTATATAATACTTGCCGTAGCTGCAAACTCTAAGGCAGCAAGGAAACGGTGCTACAATTCTTTTGTGAGTGCCCAGCTCTATCACAAATCAGATATCGGTTATATAGTGCTTATCGGGTAGGTCTAAAAATATGCCAATATCTATTTTTATACCCCTAAATGTTAACGGTGGTTAGAACAACTTTTTTGTTTTTATTTTTACATGATTCAGCATTGAAAAATACATGTAACTCTATATTTTTACCCTTATAAGATTAACCCCTGATTTTTAATTGCAATTTTTTATTATTCCGTTCCATTCACAGATCCCCAAGATGGCAATCGAATATGAAAAATAATTGTAGTATACTATAATTTCCAGGTGTAGTTATATCAATCAATCAGTTATCCCCGTCAGGTGTCTCTCGTTGTCACTTCTGAACCAGTAAACATTACGGAGTAGGGAGGAAAACTAAGCCGGCTTCCCTTTTTTCATTCTGTATACAATATTTGTCCTTGTTATTTATTTGATCTTATTTGTGTCTCGATCGTATCAGTGACTGTTATACGTATGATTTTAATTATTCTGTGTAACTCTCAGGTTGATTTTATTCTTTTAGTGAATTTAACATTATTTCTTAATGCCAAAAATATCGATATCACAGACATTGACTTTGACAATTATTGGGTGGTACATATTCCTCTGCGAAGTAAATCATTCAATACTTATACGATATTAATATTAATACGATGAAGAGCATCAAATATATTTGCAAGAATGGGAATAAAGGAAGTGAATTTATAATTGAAAATACTATTGTAAATACATATCAGCTCCAATGAAGTAGCCCGACGTATCTTCGATTTCCAAATTCATAAACAAGAAATTGCACAGGAACACAAATTAATACTGATGACATGTTTTCCGATCCAAACACAAATGTTGTGGGATAATCATAAAAATTCGATGACTGAGGATATATTATATTGACATCGTGCAAGGTGCAACGATCTAACGATATCATTCAGTCACGCAATGTCATTGCGATTTTACCAATCAGCCACTTCGGTATGAGTTCACCAAATCGGAACGCATCTGATTTAATATAACACAGGGAAATCGGGAAGCGCAATATGACACTGTCAAATTGGCAGCGACTGTTACTCGCAACTGCCACTACTAAATAATGAACAAAAATTAACTTACGACCGCGAATTTCGCGGCACTGTTTCTCCTGTCAGGTGATTTCAAATACGTTCAGTTAGTATATATCAGCTAGTATTTCACGAACTGAAAAGTGTTACGTTATTATTAGCACGAAAGTTTGGTAGTGAAAAAGTAAGCCTTTCATCATTGTGTTTGCGTAGAAAGTTAGGCAAGATCACCCATCAATCTGAAACAAATACGTAGCGGAAATTTCTTTAAAAACAACACCTAAAATAAAGTAACCGGAAGTTTTCTAAAAATACTTAATCACATAAGTTAATTTACAAATTGATATGAAAATGAGGGATACAAAAATAAAACGCAATAGAGGCAAGAGAAGTGGATCCTTATTCAAATTTTCTTTTATTATCCTTACCAAGTGTATACTGTAAATTGCAAAAAGTTCAAATTCGACAAAAAAAAGTATGTGAATGATTTTAATGTGTAAAATTTCGCGCTTTTATGTATGTATATTCACCACCAAATCTGCTGGCTTTTAAATCTTAAAATGTGACTCTTGTCGATTTTCAGAAGGCAAGAGAATAAAAGTGAGGGAAATATAACCCGAACTTGGGAATAATTTTTAAATCTGGAATAATTTATTTTAATTATTATGTGTAATTTACCTGACAATTAATTTTGTGTTCTCCTTCCTGTGCATAAGTAATAAGAGATTTGAGTCGTATTATATTGAGTAACGTAACAGTCAAATGGTCAAGCATTAAGAAGAAGCATGCGGTTAAGATTTCCAATGAGAATTGTATAAAATAGAAAAGAATGATCTTCGATTCTTTTTCAGTTCGTTGGCATGCACACTCTAGGTCCACCACATCGTTTTTTTCCAACTAAGTAAAAGAAGGATCACTTACTTTTTTGCGCAATATACAGATGTACAAGTATATGAAATCATACCTTGGTTAATGGTAATATTGTTGGTTTTTTATTGCGTTTTCGGCGGTCATCAACTTGGCGAAAGTATTTCGTTACATACACATTATCAAAATCTATGTTGCTTAAGTACTTTTTATGATATACTATAGCGGCTTAAAATAAATTCAACTTATTATAATAAAATAAATATTTGGTAAACATTAGTTTACCGATTATAACCTTAAAGACAAGGAGTGATAAGAAAATATTTGTAATCTGCATTATTACATCAAATATTTTCTTCTTGGCATTAAATTCGTCTACAACCATATCAGCTATGTGATCAGCAGTCCTGAAAATCAAAGTTTTCAATTTTTGCAATAGTCTTGTTATATTTTTTAATCTTAATTATCTCAATTATACCTCACGTCAGCATATGGAATTGCTGATTTTACTTTGTATTTCAACTCCACTTGTGAGGTATTTCTGTAAAGTGTATTTAGTGCATAATCCAATTGAGCATAGTTATCTCCAAAATTGACTGGCAGCACTTCATTTGGTTTACAAATATTGTCTGGGTTTCCCAATAAATTCATGTAACATATAAAATCCACTTGGAAAGGCCAACACAACAAAGTTCGAACTATGCGGGGAAACTTGTTCGCACATTCTGTGTGAGCTTTGGCAAATGCTTCACGGCAGCGTTTTTTCCCTTTTACTACCTGCCTTTTACAACGAACTTTAAATTTTTTTGTATACGTCTTTTGTACATGTTGTTCCATATTTTCCGCTTTACGAAGAGATAAATGATCATATGAATGATAATCGGCTCCATCAACTTCGACGCGAATTGGTAAAAGGATTTCATTCATCTTTTCAAACGACTTTTCTACACCAATTAAATCATTTTCCATCGAAGATAATGTTTTTTGAAATGGTTTTGTCATAAGATCTAATCGGGTCTTGGTCAAATTGTATGTAAGCGTTGTGGCACATGCAAATACTCGGACAACTTCTCCACCATTTGCAGCCAAATTTGTTATAGGACCTGAATTTGTTCAAAACGAATTATGGGAGAAAATAGCGTAGTTTCAATTTACCTGTAATTATGTAGGCGAAACTCAGAGCTCGCAAATAACTCCGTCCAGATTTTCCTGCCATTCCCATAAATATTAAAAAAGTAATACACTTTAAACTCGAAGTAAATAAAAATCCGATTCCTGTCGCGAGAATAATATCATATATCGAATAGAGAACTATAACTTTTGAAATGTCCTTACCAACCAAAGTAATGATTATCCCCAATGTCACGATCTTCATTTCCAAAGAAAATTGGAAACTAAGCAGAAGTAAGGACCATAACACAGTAGCCACTAGAAATCCGAGAAAACTACTGCAAAAATATCTTGTGTATGTCCAATTTTCAACGTTGCGGCTTAATAATATGCAGTACATTGGACGACATTTTTGAGAAAACAATAAACAAAATTTTCTTTTTATAAAATAAAACATTTCTATGACATATGTATATGTATGCACAATATTGGTTTTAATATATTTTCAACATAACATACCAAGCATATCAGATACACTATTTCTGTGAGATAAGTGCTTACGTTGACTCAAGCTCAAATTCAAGCCACATAATTAACCGCCATACGAAATGCTTCAATTGGCGTGTGTGTTAAAAGTGAAAGTACAAAAATGTGTTTTTCTCTTCTTAATTTGTTCCTTTATATTTTTATTCAATGGCTGATTACATGAATGATATTGCAAAAAAAAAAATTAAATTATTATTACTTATATAAATTTAATATGTTGCTTTCTAAAAGAAAATAAAGTTGTAAATAATTTTAAAAGTTTAAGCTTCATTTAGGAATTTTGTGTTCAGCATATCTATTTAATAGAGATAATTAATCCTCCATTCCAACAGATGGAATAAGACAAACAAAGGCCAAAAGTCGATTCATTCTTCAACTGCTTTTTGCAGTTTTTTTTTAACTACAATTCATTAAATCCCAATTTCTTAATTTCATAATATCGACATAACGGTCAACGAAAACAATTTTAAGTAAGTTGGATATCACTATATTGGGTATATTGAAACTAGCAGAAGGTCTGAGCTGATATCATTTACTTTCGCAAATAAACTAAAGTATAGACGAGAACAAATATTGAGAATATACATATTTTCACTTAAATTTATATAAATAACTCAAAATTTAGAGCTAGAATAATCGTATTCATTATATCGCCATCTAAAAGCAAAACAATATATGTCACAGACTAACCGATATTATAACTTAAAAGCTTTGTTTGTGCAAAGCTTTATTCCGATATCTTCATTGGTGCTTAATTTATATGTTGTAAAATTAAAGAATTACATCAAATTTAAAATTTTGATACATGGGACGTGGCGTGGTTTTAATCCAATTCCACAACATAACATAGGATTGTCAAGATATGTTATGCACAAAACTATATAGTAAACCTATTGTCCAATTTCTACGACTTTTCTTAATGCTTTATTCAGCCTTAATGTAAGCTTCGTGTGAACGCCATTGCCCATGGAAAAATTAAAAAATTTGTGTTTTTCTTATCGTGAGTTTCATCTTCCATATTCGAAAATTTTCTCTAATCCAAATTGAAATTTTTTTTACGCGAATCCATGAAATTTGTTCACAAAATTGTTAGTTGGGAACAACTATCAATTAAATGTATACTTTAATGACTAATTTGATTAAGATAATTTTTTTAAATCGATTATTCCTTCAAATATACCAATACATCCTAAAAATTGTATCGGCATAACTCATGCAGCGACGAATGGCAGCTAATTAAGGGGAAGAAGCCGAATAAATCAAGCCAATCTAGGGTCTACCTGCGAATAGTCAATATAGACTCTATCGAAAGCTGACAGCAAAATTAGCTTCGGTATACGCAAGTCCAGGATGAAAATATTTCAAGGCGGCAACAGGCAGTTGCTAAGAGATGTTGTCAACAAAGAATCGGCGATGAGCAATCACTTAATATACGTACAGCTAATTCTGCAGCACTCGAAAAGTGCTACAGATAGTCTGATAACCGTCATGAATGAGGGTGGCATCGACATTAGCTTTATACAGAAGCCCTGGGTCAGACATGTCACCGTGAAAAGGCTGAACTGCAGCAATTATAACATCTTTTACAAAAGAAATGAATGAATACCAAGGGCTTGCATTCTTACCAATAAAAATATAACGGAATATCTTTGTTATAATTTCCTCACAACATATACCACAGTGGTAAATGTGGAAGAAAAGAGAAGTAGCCTACATGGCCACCTAAAGACACCACCAGAGGCACACAGAAGACACACTCTATGGGACAGCTCCAGTACGAACATCAGTGGTGAGTCACTCTTAAAATACATACTAAATAGAAATCTAAGTATATGTAATAGAGGCGATAAGTTAACATTATGACATGCTTGTCGATTAAGTATCTACAAGTAGCCAGAGACATATGCATATATGTCCTCCTTACCAGAATCTAGTTGTAGAGTGGTGCCTGTTCTGGCTAGTTCACCTGCTACACAGTTCCCGGTGATATCATTGTGTCCTGGGACACATTGCAGGCTTATCGTGAAATAGGATGTCAGAGCCGTTAGAATATCAAGGCATTCTTTCACTGTCTTTGACGAAATCCTATGAGACATGAGAGATTTCAAAGCCGCCTGGCTGTCCGTATATATAAATATTGTTCTTGTTGTGATCACACTCCTTGTCATTACAAGAAGGCTTTCTTTAATTGCTGTGACCTCCGCTTGGGATACACTGCAGTGGTATGGATGCCGAAAGGCGATTTTGATATCTAGTTTAGCTGAGAAGACACCATCGCCTTCTCGGTTATCTAGTTTGAAACCATGCGTATAGAAGCTAGTCCCTGCTTCCATGTCCACCACGCCTATTTCCCACTGCTCTTTGGACGGGAAGGCAACATTAAAGACCGGATTTAGATTCAGCCCTGTAGGGTTTCGAAAATCTGCGGTTATGGGAAGAAACGGGAACTTCGTAAGTATCATAGAATGACCCTTCTTACTGGCCAATAGTAATGAGAATTTCCTCAAATTCAGAGCTGACTTCGCTGCCATTTGCTTGCAAATAGGTTTGTTGGCAGGAAGTGTAAAATTACGTTTAGCGCCTGGCACGGCGTTGTTCTGAGAGCTCCACTGCTGCAATTATGGACTGCTCTTTGTATGCTTCCCATACTTCTAATCGCGTATTTCTTTTCTGTTATTGGCCACCATACCAATATACTGTACGTCATAATCGGCCTTACAATTGCTGTGTAGTGCCAGTGAGCTATCCGAGGCGTTAATCCCCATCTGGGGCCATTCTTTTACACACGTAAAGTGCTATAGCTGCTTTCTTTACCATAGCTTCCAAGTTTTGTTTCCACGAAAGCTTCCAGTCCAAAGTCCTAAGTAGCTTGCTTTATCTATCGTTAGCGTGGAAGCGTTGAAATAATTGACCTGCCCAAGAGCATCTTTTCAATTAATTTTCGGAGAGGCTCAGAGATGTCCAAATATTTAAGCGCGCTAAGTATGGTCCCCGGGTCAATGTTATTGAAAGCACCTACTGTGTCTAAGAAGGCTATGAGGATGTATTCTTTTATCTCCAGAGACTTTTTAATATCTGTTGCCACTGATCATAACGCCCTTTCTGTGGACTTACCCTTGGCACACGCATGCTGCGAAACTTCCATTTTTCCTGGGTTCAGTTTTTACCTTATGTGTATTTATATTAGCTTCTCCAGCGTTGTTATGAGAAACGAGGAAAGACTAATAGGTCTAAAATCCTGTGGATTAGTATGTGAGCTTATGCCCGCCTTTGGTATATATATCACTTTGACTTTCCTCCATACCGAGAGAATATAGTGTTAATAGCTCTGAGACTGCTGTAACTGAGCCGGGAATAACCCGTCTGTTCCCAGCGATTAAAAGGCTTGAAGCTGTCTATCGCCCAATAAACATTACTATCTGGCACTATGTCTACATGAGCGGACTCTGCTACCACTTCACTCTCCTGCGCATGTTCCAATGTGTGGTTCTCGGAACTGTCTGGGAAACTAGTATCCACAAGCAGGCCTAGAGTCTCTTCACTGGATACCAGCTTTTATCTGGCTTCTGAAGGTATCCAATGCTATGTTTCGACTGTGTCATTATTTTTCTAAGTCAAGATGCTTCTGCCGTGCTCTCGGTGTCATTACAAAAAGACTTCCACGAATTTATTTTTGCCTTCCTTATCTCCTATTTATTGAATTGCTTCCTGCAATCGACGACAAGAATCTGTGAACTGTTTAACGATGATGTCAAGGTCCTCTTTGTTCTTTGTTTGAAATGGTGGAATCAGAGGAATACGCTTTTTTAGCTCCTACATGTGCAACTGCCAGTTCGTTTTTCTATGATTCCTAAATTTGTCTTCCTAAACTACATTATCTTTAGTTATACACTCAATGTAGCGGTGATCTGAGAAGAAGTGTTCCTCTAGTACACTCCAATGTGCCATTTTATTCACCAGTTCTTCCGACACAAGTGTTATATCTAATTCTTCTTGTCGGTTTCTGGTTATAAAAGTTTGGGTACTAACTTTGTTGCAAAACAAAAGCTTATTTCCTATTAAATAATTAAAGAGCAACTCACCCCTTTCATTAATGTCCGTGCTGCAAGATAGTGTGTGGTGCGCGTTGGACTCGCACCCAATTGTAATCGAGAACTTGGATACTTCAGTGTCTTGTACCAGCTCTTTGATCAGCTGCGATGGTACTGCTACTTCTTCATACGGCATGTAGCATGATGCCAGCCGGTATTTCTTTCCGTCCGTCTCCCAACTTACTGCTGTAGTGTCGTTATTACTATAATTGTGTAATAACAAGACATTAAGCTTTTTACTAGCCAATATAAATATCCTAGCCTTATCTACGCAGCCTGCCATGTATAAATTATACACCGACGCCTTCAGACCGGAAATGAGCCCATGGCTCCGGAATGAGGACGAAGTCAGGCCGTTCTTTTGCCATGCGTTTAACTAGGGCTAGAGAAGCTAGTGTGCTGTGGTGGAGATTAATTTGGAGAAGACGCATTAATTAGTCGCTCAAAAGCTCACTCTCAGTGTAAAGTTTAGAAAGTCTGACTGCAAGCTCAGACCCCAAAGTAAAATCACCTTGTTCAGTGCTCTCCACATCACTCGAGAACTCCATTGGATCTTCCTCGACTTCGCATTCCGATTCCGATGCCAAGTTTTCTTCTGCATCGGCGTGTGACTTGTAGGTCATTACCTATAACTAAGTAATAAGAAGGCATTAAGCTTTTTACTAGCCAATATACATGTCTTACCTACGCAGCCTGCCATGTACAAATTATACCCCGGTGTCCTCAGATCGCAAATAGGCCCTCCATTAACCCATTGCTCCTGAATGAGAACGAAGTCAGACCGTTCTTTTGCCATGCGGCTAACTAGGGCTAGAGCAGCTAGTTTGCTGTGGCATCCGTTCATGATGGGGGCGGACCTGGATTGCTTAATAGCACTCTCAATGCCACACTCGTCAGTGCGGCTTGCACCCACTTCCATTGTGGTCTGAGGTTTTTCCTACCGGATCTCTCTCATCCAGCACCCCAAGGATAATGCGTTTCCGGGCCAAATCAGCAAAAGATTTTGTGGGCGGCACGCTCTTAGTCTTCGGTCTCTTGGCTGACGACTTAGCCTCTTCAGCTGACCTTTGTCTCTTAGTTGCCACTCCCGGCGCTTCCAGCTTAAAGTTAGGCAAGACAGCTCTCGCGAAATCAATGGACTCTTGGAGCTCTTTTGTAAGCTCCTCATTAGTTGGCGGTTGCAGCTCCACCTTCCTCAGCAAGTATGCAGCTAGTCGCTTCTCTGCATACTTTGCCTTCGCTGGGTCTACAATCTTAAAGGAAGACCATTCTCTGGCTGACGCACTACTGGCAGCATAACTTTTGGCATCTCCCTCCTTCCCTTGCTTTGCAGCCAAGCCTTGGTAGGAATTGGTATGGGCTGCCTCCGGTGCTGTTGCTTTCTTGGAGCCAGCTTTAGCTTCTGCTTCTTTAATAGTGTTTGCCTTTGCTCCAGGACCAAGTTTACGCTTATTAATGCGGGTCATATGATATTTAAATGTTAGCCAAAAATATTGTAAGAAAGAAAATAGTTGTATAATATATATGTATATGTATAAATGCTAATATTTGAATATAATCTGAATTAAATACTAAAAACTTCTTAAAATTATTGTAAGAATAAAATTTTGTTTGTTGTATGTACATATACATATAAATGCGAATAATTAAAAGCTTAACTAATATAATTACTAAAAGTTTGTAAAAATTGAAAGGAAAAATAAGACCATTATGTACAATAAAACCAGGTAAATTAAAAAAAGTTAAATAAATAAAAATTAAATGAGAATCTCAATATTTTATTTTAATAAAAAGGTACAATAACCCT